GACGTCGACGAACGCGACCGCCTGCGGCGGCGGCGGCGCCCGAGCGAACACATCGGCAGCAGAGCGGTGGTCAAGCCTCCCCGGCGATCTCCTGTCCATAAGCTACCTCCGGCTCACCACCACAATCGACCGCGTCCGCTTCGCCGCCGTGTGCCCGGCATGGCGCGCCGCTGCATCCCGGCACCTGCCGCGCAGCGCTCTCCCATGGCTGATCCTTGATCCCAGCGGCGCCCACGAGGCGAATCGCGTGTACTGCCCGGAAGAGGGCGTGGTCCTGCCTCGGCTCTCTCTCCCCGGCGAGGCCGTCCAAAGGTGCTTCGTGGGCAGCCACGAGGGAGGCTGGGTCGCCTCCTCCCAGGCGCCGTTCAAGATCATTAATTTTTTCACAGGTGCAGAGGTGGCGCTCTCGCCCCACACACGCCCGCACACGGATGATCCTTTACTCCTGCGGAAGGTCGTGTTCTCGGAGCAGCCCACCATGAGTAATTGTATCCTCGCCGGAGTCACCAGGATGCACCAGCTCGCGGTTTACAAGGTTGGCTGCCCCGAGGCCGGCTGGACGATACGAGGACTATGGGAACCATCGTCTTATGGATATCGCCTTTTGCAATGGGGAGCTCTATGGCACCACGCAAGACCCTGATGATCTCGTCAAGTTTGAGTTTGTCGTGAACAAACATGGCGCCTTGGTGGGTGTGAAAATCCACTACTGATTTTGCATGTTGGGGAGATACAGGGAGAGTCCCGAGCACATCAGGTACATTGTTGAGCTACGTGGCGAGCTTGTGATGGTGGTGAGGGGCTATCGGTCATACAAGGGCTTCACCGCTTTCAGGCTAGTTCATGGCAACATAGGAATGCACCCCTCTTCCTATTATTATAACTACAAGTACAAGTGGGTGGAGGTGTATAGCTTTGGAGACTACGCGCTATTCTTGGGACCAACATGTTCCAAGGCAGTGCAAGTGCCGGCAGGTGGACACTACGACATACAAAAAAATCACATCTACTTCTCCCACCATCGTTGCTTAAGGCGAAACAGTGAGATCCCCAATGGTGCCAAGGTATTTTTAACGACTGTAAATGATGATGGTTACCGTGTGTATTACAAGAAAGATGAAGGCAACCTGTCAAGGGTGTACTATGCAATCGGTGTTGTCCGTCCCCCCATGTGGATATTCCCTCCGGGTATCTAGAAGATTAGGTGTGGACCAATATATTGTACCACCGTAGATTAGTTACTTGTTTGTTCAGATATTATAAAGGTTGTTTCCCATGTATTAGTTCGACAATTCACTGATTATGTAACATGAAACTGATCACTAAATATGTACTTAAAAGCACTTCCTAATCATTTTGTGATTTCCTAACCACAAGAAAAACATTGCGTGTTACTGTTATGATCAGAGTGTTGGCCTGCACGGACAAAGTACGTCTTATATTCTTGAAAATGAAGAAGCAGAACTATTTCTTTTTGCTGGTGACACACATTAGATTAGTTGACTCATCAGTTTATCTTTACATAAGCCTGTTTTTTCAATGTTAAACAAAAAAACATATTTATGTTCTGAAAAACAATGATAATTATAAACCATAACCGGGGCAATATGCGCAGTTGAAGAAAATACCATCACACTGTATATACAACTAATGAAGGAGTACATTTAACAGAAATTACACACAATACATAGTATATAGCGATGTTCGTACCGTAACGAAGGAGGAATGCAAATGAAAAAGTGTTTGTCAAACTCCATCCATCAATTAGAAACGATACCATTCATTTTGTTCTTTGGGCATACAACAGAAGCGAGGTTGTGTTACTCCATCCGAGACAGCACCCTAGCACCACAAAAATAGACCAAAACACTGTTTATTTGTGATGATTTTGCTCTGGATGCCTCCTTTTGTTGTAACAAATAATTGTCCACTGGACATGTGTGGAAAAGCACAGGCAGAGGTTGTTACACCATTATTTATTTTTGAGAAAAGGATGGTTAGTGATGTTGCAAGGCACAAAGATGCAAGCTTCCGTAGATAAATATGTATTTACATAAATTGCTTCAGTTTAGGGGCCATATCCAAGATGAAGATTCTAAGTCCTATTTGAGATCGGGATAAATAATCAGGTTAGTACTAAATCTCTGAATACTCATGTGTGTATATATGATGGATGATGGAAGGCATAATATAATAATTTGGTTTAAACTGATTTAGGTATCTTTATTTAGCCGGTAGCAATCTAGTACCAAGAAAGCACATTATTTAGAACTATGAGAAACATCAACCAATTTTATTGGCTAACATTCATGTTTATAGCTTCATCTAAATATGAACCTGAGATGGGAATCTTCATAAATCCTCATGTAAGCATCTAAGTGGACTTGTTGTGCAGTATTTACTTTATGATGCAAAGACCATAGCCCTACTGCAAGTATTGTGTGGTGCCGCTTGAGGAGAAGCAGATCAGGTCTCCATGCTCTTCTTTGGATCATACTCCTGTCAATAGTATTATTGCTGATAGACCTAAAAAGTGATTGTTTTTTTCTATGTCGGACATAAGACAATTCGTGGGGCTATTTAATGAGTTCGATGAACTGTAAATACAAAAGGAAATTTATGAATAAGGGGATACTTGCCTGCATAGGTGACGCCGAGTGTAGTTTCTCCACTCTACAGCCTTGCAGGTTACCATGCCCACTCAATTTGCTTTAGTCCGTACAAAATCTGCTGATGGAAGCACCTCGCGTGTGTTGCGTTGGGGAAAACTTTATCTGAGATTGTTGGCCACAACGCCCGCGGTAGTAGCTTTTAACTTATTTTTCCTTCACATCCTTGCCTGACTTGATTGATCTTCCACATCTGCGCATGGTATGAGGAACAGAATACATCGGGGGCTCTAACACCATGATTGATCAGAGGAGGATTTAATGCGAGACGAAGACCGAGGCACATGGAGATGACGGCTGTACTAAGAGACATAACCGTTGGGGGCGATTTAGACCGTGAAGGACGGGAGAAGCACTTGGGAAGGCCCTTCATGGAGGAGATAGGGATTAATGAAGGAAGACATGAGGCGGCCATGACATGAGGACTGCGCTTATATATTGGATAGGTTACGGGACCTAAAACCTAAGGTGGAGAAGATGTGCCTGTTGTGGAGGTTCTTTAGGCAGCACGTGAAAACATTCTCCAAAGAGGGATATAAAAGTTTTTTTTCTTTTATTACAAAGGGATGGGTTAATCTTACGCCCTAATAATTTGGTCCCACCAGATTAACGGCTCCTAATTATTGATTATCATGGTAATTTCTAGGGAGTCCATAATTAGTATAGAATAGATAGATAGATAGATAGATAGATAGATAGATATAGATAGACAAATAGATAGATAGATAGATAGAAATAGATAGAAATAGATAGATTTTTGGTGTTGCTAATTGTTTTTTCAGATGCAAAATCAAAAGAACAGCTCCGTCTGTGCATTGGACTACAGAAAATGAAATCTGTAAAATTTATTCCGCTAACTTTTATTGAAAAATATATGCATGTTTAAGTGGCAAGGACACTACAACAGCCAGGAACAAATGATGTAAATAATACAAGATCAATCTACTGTACGACAGAAGTATAGAGTGTACAGCACAAACGACAACTCTACATGATGATCTCAACACAGGAACCAGTGTTACATAAACCTAGAGTATCAAACCAGTCATCTTCATCCAAAATTACACTCCTTTTGCAAGCCCCGTGGCTGAATCAATCAACGTGTGGCTCTCCTCGGTGAGAACTTTTGGGCCAGCCCCAGGCCTGCTGCAGATGAAGTAGCTAACATCGCCCTTGAATTTTTGGTTCGGTGTCTTCATCTCCGGGGGCGGTGGAAGGGCCTCGATGTCAGCTATGGACTGCACTCCGGCGCCACTTAGGATTGATTTATCGCCGACCATATAGCTGTCATGATCATGTTTGTCAGATGTATACATATTTGTAGAATACCTAGGAACAAACAAATGCTGGGTTTATTCTTGATAATACCAAACACACCTGTCCAAATCATTTTCCTGTGGAGGGAAGCAGTATAAGAGCCTCTGAAGGAGAAGGGTGTCCGTTTTGCGGTTTCGTGCTATTAGGACAGCGTTAGGCCCAGCATCAAATGTGTAGGCAACCTGCAATTACAAGAGATCAAATGCCAAATTTAGAGATCAAACACACCTGTCCTTTGGTTTCATTATCAGATCAATCGCACCATCCACTCCAGTACCAATTATTTGCAGTCTAGGTGAAGTGCATACCGGACAACACATACAGAAGAAATAATATTGCCAAGATTGCAATGAAGTTTTATCTTTTGATGAAGGCAATAAAATAAGATATTTTGTATCCATTCTCTTTCGAAATACAAACTTTAGATGCTATTTAATAAACCTAATGCCAAGTTGATTTGAGTATCAGATCAATCACACGAACCAGTGTAATTTATCTGCAGTTTAGGTGAACTGCATGCCAGACAACACAAACAGACGAAGAAGTAATACTGCAAGATTGCACTATTTTTTTCTCTTTGTCTCTTTGATGACAGCAGTATACCAAGATACTTCTGCTTCCATTAGAATTTCAAACTTCTAGATCCTATTTAATACATATCATACCCAGTAGAAATAATAGAAGTATGCAATTGACTGCTCCAGAACCAAAAGCAGCAGTAATATGTTTTCATCATGAACTCTTCAAACTGAACTATATGTTCCCTAAAAACAAAAGAATTGGAAGCTTAAACTCGTATTTTCTGGACCTTTTTCAGAAAGATGGCAATAATTTTGTTGCTCTTTTAAATTAAGTTAAATTACTTCATCGTGTGATGCTAGTTAAATATGTTATATCCAGTGCAGTGAAAACTTATTGTACTGGCATATCATAACAAAGCTTAACCAACCTTATTTTAGAACCCTATATGCAGCACCAACGCAATTCAGAAGAATTTAAAACAAGTAGCAAGTGTTAAACAGGAACAGAATATACATGTGGGGTTCCTTCCGAGTGGTTCCACTTCTCCACAAGGCTAATTATCCTGCAGTTGGTTGAAAGAGCGATCCTCAACTCTGGAATTTCAGTACTAACAGAACCTCAAAATCAGGACTGCTAAAAAACTACCTGTGTGACGTATCATTCATGTAGAAGATGGGAGGACTCGTGTCCAAACATACAGCATGAAACTGGTTGCTATCTACACAAGTTAACCTGGCAAAGGATTCAAAATCACGATTCTTGATGGCCTCTTCCATTTTCAATATGCGACCTGGCACTACAGTCTGGAATACAAGAAAAAGTAGTGCGGTGCACAGTGAGAGCAAGAAACCACAAAAATTGTACAGTATAACTACCAACAGACTTGATAAAAAAAATTGGAACCACAAAACTTGAGGGTCCACACAAGAGGGGTAAAACTACAATTCAGATTTCAGCTTCATGATTTTGTTCCCTCGATGATTCGTAAAAAGATTGTACAGTATGTATCAAAAACAAGTTAAAGATGAAAATGCAATCACCTGGGCCCTGTACTGCAAGAGGGGGCTTGTTTCGACAGTGTCCCGCATCCCACTGGTGCTACTGGTTTCCTTCTGCTTTGAACTGACCTAATTCCACAAAGCATCATAATAAGAAAAAGATGTTGGGATAAAAATGGTAAAATGGTGTCACTATATATAGTAAAGGATTGGTGTTAACGGTACCATGATTCGATGAGCAATATCCAGTGACAAGTTAAATGAAACAGATCATGTTATACAACAGAGATCGCATTGACATACCACTGCTATGATTATAACAAGATCATCCCAATGCGACTCGTCAACAAGCTGTACTGCCATACTGTCACTTCCATCATCATTCTACAAGTATATAGTCAAACTCAATCGTTTTACAATAGAAAAACATGCATTTTAACCAATTCAATTTCTCTGCCTTAACCAAGAGATAACTTACTTTTCCCATACACCATTTCACAAATCCACCATATGTACTGCGGCATGCACTTCCAGACCCCTGCCTGCGTTGAAAGTCGTCAGCCTGAGAGAATTATAACTAAAGAGAGGATATGAGTATAGTAGCTTATTATTTAGTAAAATGGTTGCTATATCATCAAGCAAACATCACAAACAGGATAGAGCACAAACAGAGTGTTGCTCCAAAATTTATCAGTACGGAGTACAGACCTTGCTATTGAAGAAAGTTCTCCATAATCTTCATTCACGTTCATTAGCTTTCCGAGGGTGAAAACTACAAACATTATTCAAATTACTAATTTGTGCTGTAATATTGGTATGAAAGCAAGACCTTGCTTAGCATGTTTATGAGCAAAAAATAGAAGTAGTAGTGGACAATCAGTTTGTGTTGGATAGCGCTATCAAACTTCCAAGATATGAATAAAGTAATCAATATTTCTAGAAAGCAAGCATGCTGAGCAGTGGTAGTCAATCAGGGCAAAACAAGACTCAGGACCAGATATTAGCACTATTATCATGGAACTTGGTAAGACCAGCCATTTTTCAAACCTAGCAGATTTATTGCAAAGATTAACCAGCAGACCGGAACTAAAAATAGTTTCTACGTCTTATCTCTTTTTCTTTCTTTCTTTACTTTTTTGCTCTATACACCAGATAATAAAGAACAAACTGCAGATAAGTTGGACAACCTTAATAGCAGGATGCAGGACAATTTTAGGTGACAGTTAGAAAACCATAATATTGTCCTATTATCACGAATAGCACACGGAGGTGTATTCGAAAGGTAAGAGCAACAACAACGAATATTTGCAGATTGCATCAGCAAGAGAACAATTCTATAAGAGAATAAGAAATACACCCCCTCCGCTACTAAACACAACTGAGGTGGGTCCAGAAGAGCAGAAAACAAAATGAAATCCAAGTCTAACCCGAAATATCCCCAGTTTTAGTCACACATCTGTTTTTCTGACAAATAGCCATGGCATCAGAACAGGAGACTTACCAAGACAAGCAAAGCCAGCGGCCGAAGAGGCCAAACCGGCAGCGGTCGGGAAGTTGTTGTAAGACGCTATGTGGACGTGCAACTTCTCCCAGTCCTCTTTCTTGATCTTGATCCCCCTTTTCTCGTCCTCGACGTCACGAGCCCGCTTCCGGATCTCCCTCAGGCAGCTCTGAAACCTCCCGCCTGACAACGCAATCTCCTGCTCAATTCCACACCAAACAGACGATTAGATCACACTAGCATCCAAGCAGACAATAATTTGTTTTCTATTCCTGCATTTGTGTTACATCACATCCAGTTAAAGACCTGATATAGAACTGCTATTTGTATTGGTCCATCACCCCAGCATGACGCAGGCATGCAGCAATATAAGTACTAGTAGTAGATGATAACTGCAGACAACATTAACAGACAGAAAAAGGTGTCTTTTGGCTTCTGTTGAAAAAACAAATTTTCAGCGCTGCGCCGACTGTCTCTGCAAATTCAGCGAGGTTTCAAGCAGGTCCTGATCCAGATCTAAGCATATGGGCAGCCGATTTCACTACAGTAATCCCAAATCACAACGGTGACCGGCGGCGGCGGGGGCGGCAATGGGGTGGAGGCGAGCCGAGCGTGAGGAAAGGGAAAGGGAAAGGGAAAGAAGAAGAGAGCGGTGGAGGAAAGGGGGCTGACCTTGCCGTTGAGCCACATGCGGTCGGAGGGGAAGGCGGGGCTGGCGGCGACGGTGGTGGTGGCGGAGAGGTGGTCGGGGTCGAGGGTGACGCTGATGCTGTCGTTGACGGGGAGGATGAGCGCGTCGTCCCGCTTCCCCCAGTACTTGATCACGGCGATGTTGGTCGGCGACCGCCCCGTGGCCGTCAGCACCCACTGCGCCCCCGTCGCCATTGATGGGGGTGGGCGGAGGACTGAGGTGAGCAAGGGGGAGATCGCGATTCGCGAGGGAAATAGCCTCCCAACCCAAAGCCAGGGGCCATTTTTTAGTCAAATCAACGCACGAGGCTGCTAAGGACTTTGACTACGATTTAGTCCTACCAAAATATGAGAATCTACTTGCAACAAAAAAAAGTAATAGCACCCCAGATCCACAAACTTGCACAGAATATGATACTTTAGTCCAAAACAAAATGTTATTGAGGACTCTTACAACTTGACACTCTATGTGATGTTTTGGTCCACATCCACTCACAACGTGACAAGTGGCAGTCCAGAGGATGGACCGGTCAGCTCTGCCAATTTTGCACAAAGGCCCCTGCCGTTGACTCCATTCAACCCGCAATATTTACCGTTGCTGGTCCTGTTCCCCACCCCACACCTACCGTTGTTGTTCCCGTTCCCCCAACCCCACACCTACCGATGTTGTCCCACTTTCTCCTTCCTGTTCCCCATTCTCCATCCTCTCGCTCTCCCTCTCCCTTTGTCGCCGGCAGCAAGGCCCCTCCCCACCCCCTGCTTTGAACCCTTGAACATTTGCTCAGCTCGTGGCCATGGTTTCCTGGAGCGATTCTGGCAGTTCGTCCGGCGCTGAGTCAGACAGCAGCGAAGTGCAGGTTAGATCTCTTTCTCTGGTAGGATTAGGGTTTCTTTGGGTGTGCATTGGTAGTTAGCAAATGGAGCTGATTTACTTATGTTTTAGCTACCTGCCACCATCTTGTGCTTGGAATGGAGCAGCCTGGCCACAGATCTGAGTTCAAGATGTGAGCATGAATGTGTGTGTGAGAAGTTGGTGGCATTTGATTCAGTGGATAGTGGAAGGAGATTCCTAGCTTGTGCACAGAAGGTTAGTTGCTGATTTGGCTTGATTCAGTGTTGAGTTAAGTTTGACAGTTCTGACAGTTAGATTAAGTGTTTATGTTTCTTTTGTTGACAGTTAGATTCAGTATTTATGATGCTGTTTTTGCTTCTGTCAGTTAACTGAATGTTGTTATTTGTAGTTCTTTAAATTAAGTGAATATACTGTGGAGATCAGTCAGTTTACTCAATCTTGTTGTTTGTAAATCTGAATTTGTGGAGATCTGTCAGTTAACAAATATTGCTCAAGTAAACTTTCTTTTGTTCATGTAAACTGAACATTTGTAGTGTAGTTGAGCCAGTATTTAACTGTTATTTTCATTATACCGAATATTTTTCTTTTGTTGCAAATTTCTAGAAGATACCTAAATGCAGCTATCTGGAGTGGGTTGACCCTGAGTGGCCCGCCCCTTTGAAGATGAGCCTAGCTAGGATCTGGGGCATGTATGAAGATGAGAACAAGTTTAGGCTCAAGGACAATGTAGTTCATGCTCAAGAAAATGTTAGGGTTGTGAGAGAGAAGGAAAAGCTGGAAAAAGACTTGAGATTTTTTAAGGTTGATTTTGCTCAAATGGTGGCTGAGAAGGAGCAAGCTCTGGCCCAACTAGGCAACACACAACTTGCTCTTGCTGACATGAAGGAAGATCTTGATAAGAAGAAGATGGCTGACAAATCATTCACAAACATTCAACAAATTGTGAGGGCCAAGGCAGAGAAAGAGAGGGACCTCATGAAGCAGGAGAGGGACAACATCATGGAAGAGAGGGACAGTTTGGTGCAAGAGAGGGACAACCTGGTGCTGGAGAGGAATGTGCTAAAGCAAGAGAAGAAGAAGTTAGAGTACATGATTGGTGATCTTTTCAAACATAAGGAAGATACCAAGGGCAAGATAAGGAAGCTGAAAGAGATGCTTGAAGAATTTGAATGATGGTCTAATGTAATCATTAGTAGCAGGTCCAGTATGACCTTGCTTAGTAGCAGGTCCAGTATGCACTTGCACTTGAAATTGCAGGCTTATTTGTATTAAGTAATTTGACTAATTTGTGTACTGAAGTATGTACTTCAATTTAAGTACTTTGAGTTAATTGAATTGTCTTATTATTGATTTATTGAGTTCACTGATTTTTTGACAGTTAACTTTTTCAGTTAACTGAATTTTTCATAGTTAACTGAATTGTTGACAGTTAAGTGATTTGTTCAAATTAAACTGAATTTGGTCATAGTTAAATGATTTGTTCAAATTAAACTAAATTTCTTCAGAGTGCACTAAATTTGTTCAGAAGAAAACTAAATTTGTCATCTTAGTGCACTAAATTTCTGGTAACTAACAATACTTAACTGAATAGTGATCCTATCTACTTTTCACATAGATTTGTTCACATTTAAATGTAATTGTGAATTTAGAGTACTTGACTGAATTTGTTCACATTTAAATGTAATTATGACAGTTAACTGAACTTTGACAGTTAACTGAATTTTTCAGAGTTAACTGAATTTTTCAGTGTAACATATGGACCCTACTACATGCACATAGGTCCCATCTATTTTGGGAAAGAGTTGGTTGCCCATAGGTACACATGCAGACATTCAAACTGTTAACTGACCACAACATTCATAACTAACTAAGTACATCATTGGGTACTTCAACACCTAAACAGCAACATTCATACCTTAGTTTAGCATAACTGACCATACCATCATAGTTCAACATCTTAGTTAACCATCATACTTAACAGCACCATAGCATCATAAAGTAACTTATATGCTCTACATATAAGAGCACGCCTAAACAACATTGCCAAAATACTTAACTTATATGCTGCTCTACTATATCAGCATACCTAATGTCTTCTTCTTGAGCTGCATCACTTCTCCTTCAAGGCTTCTGCTTCACTTGTCCTTCAACATCTTCAGCCTCTCCGAGCGGCGCACCACCCCATCTGCAGCTCTCTTGTTGTTTGCGTTCTTCTTCCCCTTCCCGTCATCCACTTCTTCCTGCACAGGCACCTTGTCTGCCTCGTCTGCCTCCTCTTGCTTGACGACGACGACGTCAGGCACATTCGGCAGCGCGTCCACGTCGATTGGGATGGTCACATCCCGTGGTGCCATCTGCACCTCATCTGGCTCGTTGTCAGAGAGGACGATGACATCCACCTCCCACTCTTGAGACGACTCAGTCTCCGGGTCGTAGCCAGAGTCCGCGTCGGAGGTGAGGTGGTCGTACTCGGAGTCGGATGACGGATCCGTGTCGGAGACATCGTCGAGAAGGAGGAGGTCATGCTGATGTTGGGGAACGTAGTAATTTCAAACAATTTCCTACGCACACTCAAGATCATGCTGATGCATAGCAACGAGAGGGGAGAGTTTTGTCCACGTACCCTCGTAGACCGAAAGCGGAAGCGTTAGCACAACGCGGTTGATGTAGTCGTACGTCTTCACGATCCGACCGATCCAAGTACCGAACGTACGGCACCTCCGAGTTCAGCACACGATCAGCTCAATGACGTCCCACGAACTCCGATCCAGCAGAGCTTTGCGGGAGAGTTTCGTCAACACAACGGCGTGATGATGGTGTTGATGATGCTACCGGCATAGGGCTTCACCTAAGCACCGCTACGATATTACCGAGGTGGAATATGGTGAAGGGGGGCACCGCACACAGCTAAGAGATCAATGATCAATTGTTGTGTCTAGAGGTGCCCCCTGCCCCCGTATATAAAGGAGGGAGGGAGAGGCCGGCCCTAGAGGAGGGCGCGCCAAGTGTGGGGAGTCCTACTAGGACTCCCAAGTCCTAGTAGGATTCCCCTTTCCTTTCTGGAGTAGGAGAGAAGGAAAGAGGGGGCTGCACCCCTTGTCCAATTCGGACCAGAGGGGGGCGCGCCTCCTTCCTTTTGGCCTCTCTCCTCTATTCCTGTATGGCCCAATAAGGCCCATATACTCCCCGGCGAATTCCCGTAACTCTCCGGTACTACGAAAAATACCTGAATCACTCGGAACCTTTCCGAAGTCCGAATATAGTCATCCAATATATCGATCTTTACATTTCGACCATTTGAGACTCCTCGTCATGTCCCCGATCTCATCCGGGTCTCTGAACTACCTTCTGTAAATCAAAACACATAACTCATAATATAAATCGTCACTGAACGTTAAGCGTGCAGACCCTACGGTTTCGAGAACTATGTAGACATGCCCGAGACACATCTCCGGTCAATAACCAATAGTGGAACCTGGATGCTCATATTGGCTCCTACATATTCTACGAAAATCTTTATCGGTCAAACCGCTTAACAACATACGTTGTTCCCTTTGTCATCGGTATGTTACTTGCCCGAGATTCGATCGTCGGTATCTCAATACCTAGCTCAGTCTCGCTACTGGCAAGTCTCTTTACTCGTTCCGTAATGCATCATCTTGCAACTAACTCATTAGTCACATTGCTTGCAAGGCTTATAGTGATTTGCATTACCGAGAGGGCCCAGAGATACCTCTCGACAATCGGAGTGACAAATCATAATCTCGAAATACGCCAACTCAACAAGTACCTTCGGAGACACCTGTAGAGCACCTTTATAATCATCCAGTTACGTTGTGACGTTTGGTAGCACACAAAGTGCTCCTCCGGTAAACGGGAGTTGCATAATCTCATAGCCATAGGAACATGTATAAGTCATGAAGAAAACAATAGCAACATACCAAACGATCAAGTGCTAAGCTAACGGAATGGGTCAAGTCAATCACATTATTCTCCTAATAATGTGATCCCATTAATCAAATGACAACTCATGTCTATGGCTAGGAAACTCAACCATCTTTCGTTAATGAGCTAGTCAAGTAGAGGCATACTAGTGACACTATGTTTGTCTATATATTCACACATGTATTATGTTTCCAGTTAATACAATTCTAGCATGAATAATAAACATTTATCATGAAATAAGGAAATAAATAATAACTTTATTATTTCCTCTAGGGTATATTTCCTTCAGTCTCCCACTTGCACTAGAGTCAATAATGTAGTTCACATCATCATGTGATTTCACGCCAATATTCATATCTGTATATGATTAACACCCATAGTTCACATTTTCATGTGA